GTTAGGGCCCTTAGATTGTACGCCCCTTGAGGGTTAGGGACCTTAGATTGTACGCCCCTTGAGGGTCAGGGACTGACGTGAATGTACAATATATATATATATGGGCAGCACAGTGGCTAAATGGTTAGCACTTTCACCTGGCAGTACTAGCGTCGCTGGTTCAAATCCCAACCACAGCACTAGGTTTGTTGGTTCGTATCCCAACCACAGCACCACTAGGGTTGTTGGTTCGTATCCCAACCACAGCACCACTAGGGTTGTTGGTTCGTATCTCAACCACGGCACCACTAGGGTTGTTGGTTTGTATCCCAGCCATGGCACCAGTAGGTTTGTTGTTTCGTATCCCAACCATGGCACCAGTAGGTTTGTTGGTTCGTATCCCAACCACGGCACCACTAGGGCTGTTGGTTCGTATCCCAACCACGGCACCACTTGGGGTTGTTGGTTCATATCTCAACCACGGCACCACTAGGGTTGTTGGTTCATATCTCATCCACGGCACCACTAGGGTTGTTGGTTCGTATCCCATCCACGGCACCACTTGGGTTGTTGGTTCATATCTCATCCACGGCACCACTAGGGTTGTTGGTTCGTATCTCAACCACGGCACCACTAGGGTTGTTGGTTTGTATTCCAACCACGGCACCACTAGGATTGTTGTTTCGTATCCCAACCACGGCACCACTAGGGTTGTTGGTTCATATCCCAACCACGGCACCACTAGGGTTGTTGGTTCGTATTCCAACCACGACACCACCTGCCTGGAGTTTGCATGTTTTCCCTGTGCCTGTGTGGGTTTCCTCCCATACTCTAAAGACATTCTGGTAGGTGAATTGGATCCTGTCTAAATTGTCCCTAGTATGTGTATGTATGGATGTGAGTTAGGGACCTTAGATTTTACGCCCCTTGAGGGTTAGGGACTGATGTGAATGTACAATATATATTTTTTTTTTTTTTTCCAACTTCACCGATAAAAAAAATGTGCCAAAACCCCGAAAAAAATGACTGACCAATTAACCCACTAATGGTGCGAAAATCGTGCGTTTTTTTTTTTTCCGGCCGATTTTCGACACGTCTATTGCCTGCATAAATCGGACAACGGGAAGAAATTCCAAGCTCATAACTCTTCTCCAAGCAGGACCCGGAGGCCTGGATGCAAATAAAACGACCCCCCCCTACTTTACAGAAGACCTCTCTGATGACCACGGCTATGATTACTCCTGTCCTGTTACCTGTTTATCTCTACAACAAACAGGACAGGTCCTCTTTAAAAACCGACACGCTGGTTCATACACCTCCACTCCATATAAACCATCCAAAATGCTTGAGCGGCAATATAGCAGATAGGTGAAGCAATAAAGGGAGGTATTCTGCCTCTCCAGCTAACTCAGCTCCCGCTCTATTCTGCTTAGCAGATGAGTTTGAGGCCCTTAGGTTTGATGGGTTCTATTCCCAGCGGAGAGCAAGAGGAGGAAAGGAAAAAAAAAGGAGATAAAACGCAGTTCATGACTGCTAAGGAACATGAATTGTTTTCTTGAGTAAATACACCGGCATCATGAAACGGGAATTGCCCCGGATATGTTGCCATCACTTCATTCTTCAAGAGGGCTTGACGGCTGACTCCAGCGATTTACAAATTTATTTTTTGTTTTTTTGTTGGCTTGTTTTTTTTTTTTTTTTTCATCCCCCGCTTTTATTTGTGATGCGTGCGGCTTACTTGAAAAAGCGAGGGGTGTTAATTTTTAATCCCTGCGTGGTTGATGGGGAGATAACGAATAACCAAAAGGTCTGCTTAGCACCACGCTACAAAGGGTTTGAAATTGTTTTTTTCTTTTTTTTGTGAAAAGAGATTTACGAGGGTCAGGAAAAAAATAAAAAATAATAAAGATGAATAGAAACGATGATTCTACAGTAATCTTAAGCAGACGAGCTTTGATTTTCGCTAGCGATGCAACAGTCGCTGGAGACGCAGTCCACAGGTTATAATGATGATTTTACACAAAAAAAAATAAATAAAAACTGAAATATATAAAACATGACATTCAACTAGTACAGTGGTTCTCAACCTTCCTAATGCCGCGACCCTTTAATACAGTTCCTTATGTTGTGGTGACCCCCAACCATAAAATTATTTACCCAGTAATTATTATTCATGAAGTGTCGTTTTACCTCTAATACTGCTGCTTTCAACACAGTAGTGTCAAGGTCCTTTTCCCTGAGGTTATGTTACTCCATGTGCTGGCGTCCATCTTGGATTCTGCTGTGCATGGTGGGAATCCTTTTATGCCTTCAGGTCTCTGAGGTCCATCCCCCAGAGGGGCGTGGCTGATGACATATAAGCCTGTGGCTCGCACATGCTCTTTGCACTTGTGTCTTTGTGTTGCTATTACTCTGTTCTGACTCTCGTGACTCTCCTGGTATCTGATTCGGCTTGTGACTTGACTATTCTTTGTATTCTCCTTTGATCTGACCCTCTGTTGCTGAACCCGGCTCGTGACCTGTGATTCTCGTCTGCTGTCCTGTACTGTTTTGTCCTGTTGTTGTTGACCCCGGCCTGTCTGACTACTCTTTTGTCTCTTCCATCAGCTACACGCCATTGGCGGCAGCCATTACCGCAGCGCTGAGGTGTCTCGGGGGCCGCGACCTGGTTCCTGGCTGTGTCAAGTCCATCCCCACCATCAGGGGCCCTGGTGAAGGGCAGCCTGGGACTTAGACTCCGCGCCCTGAGGGACTTCGGTCTGTGGGTGGTGGTTGTCGTCAGCCAGTGCGTTACATTGTTAGGCCTGCCTGTCCGTTCCTTGGCCCCTGCCCTGACAAGTAGCTGCTTTCTACAGAGTAGCTGCTTTCTACAGAGTAGCTGCTTTCTACAGAGTAGCTGCTTTCTACAAAGTAGCTGCTTTCAACACAGTAGCTGCTTTCAACACAGTAGCTGCTTTCTACACAGTAGCTGCTCTTTACACATTGGAAATATGTGTTTTCCGATGGTCTTAGGCGACCCCTGTGAAAGGGTTGTTCGACCCCCAAAGGGGTCTCGACTCGCAGGTTGAGAACCACTGAACTAGTAGAAGTCACTTTACCGCAGAACTGGGCGCTGTCCGGCCTGCTTTAGGTCGATGGGATAATTAGAATTCAAATGTGAATAAGTGTATGCCATGTGACCAGGGGCGGACTGACAACTCATGGGGCCCCCCGGGCAATAGGGGATCATGGGGCCCCTGTGTCCTTGCCCAAACTCAAAAAAGCCTATGAAAAAGGTACCAGGGGCATCTCCCCTACTGGCCCCGGGCCCCGTTTCCAAATGGTCTGTGTATGTGACACCGCTCCGTTGCTCTGGGGGAGGAGTGTGGATTCAGGCTGGCCAGTCAACAAGATGGCGGCAGCTGAGCTGAGCCCCCCCCCCATTGGTCCCCTGGTCGCCAAGATGGTGGTGGTCACACTTTTGCCACTGCTTTTACCAATTTAAAAAAAAAAATCAAAAAACTAAATGTAGAAAATATGACATTCAACTAGTAGAAGTCACTTTAGCGCAGAACTGGGCGTTTTAAGGCCCCCGGGACACATTCGGCCCTTTGGCTGTCCCTGTCCGGCCTGCTTTAGGTCGATGGGAAATTAGAAATCAAATGTGAATAAGTGTATGCCATGTGACCAGGGGCAGACTGACAACTCATGGGGCCACCGGGCAATAGGGGATCATGGGGCCCCTGTGTCCTTGCCCAAACTCAAAAAAGCCTATAAAAAAGGTACCAGGGGCATATCATGGGGCCCCCTACTGACCCCGGGCCCCGTTTCCAAATGGTCAGTCCACCCCTGCATGTGACACCGCTCCGTTGCTTTGGGGGAGGAGTGTGGATTCAGGCTGGCCAGTTAACAAGATGGCGGCAGCTGAGCTTCGCCCCCCCCCGTCGGTCCGCTGGTCACCAAGATGGCGGTGGTCACACTTTTGCCACTGCTTTTACACACTTAAAAAAAAATGAAATGTATAAAGTATGACATTCAACTAGTAGAAGTCATTTTAGCACATAACCGGGCATTTTATGGCCCCCAGGCCTCATTCGGCCCTTTGGCTGTCCCTGTCCGGCCTGCTTTAGGTCAATCGGAAATTAGAAATCAAATGTAAACAAGTGTATGCCATGTGACCCTGCTCCATAGGGGGAGGAGTGGTGGATATAAAAATATATGTTAAAATTACTTTTTTTATATGTTAAAAAAAAAATCTAAAGAATATATTTAAAAAATATATATTTTTAAAAATATATATATTTTTTTAAATATATTCTTCAGACTTTTTTTTTAAATATATAAAAAAGTAATTTTAACGTATATATTCGTAAATGCGTTCCAAAAATTTAGATTTGTATTTTTAAAGACATACAGTATATTTGAAATGTATTTTTAAAAATATTTTTCATATATTTTGTAATAAAAACGCATTTCAACATACAGTATATATATTTATTGAAATGTGTTTTGAAATATAGTGAATATGGGCAAAATTGTAGCATTTCAAATATATGTCAATATATAATTATTATTATTATTATTATTATACAGTATTTATATAGCGCCAAAAGGTTTACTCAGCTCTGTACATTATAGTGGGGGACAGAACATGAGACAATACAGTACTACAATACAATACACGAGGGGTTCGAGGGCCCTGCTCTTTCGAGCTTACAATCTAGGATATTTTTCATACATTTTGTAATAAAAATGCATTTCAACATACAGTATATATATACATACATATATATATATATATATATATTTTTTTTTTTTTTTAATATATTGCATACAGCCAAAATTGTAGTATTTCAAATATGTGTCAGTATATTTGGGAAGAATATTTTTAAAATATATTTCAAATATATTTTTTCTTCCATGTGGGTTAATGAAACATGGTCATTGTAATCTAAAAAGTAAAGATGGTCCTCACCACATCAGGAATGTTGCAGTCCTGCCCGCTGGACGGGATAGCACACACAATACCTGCTTTTTGCCTTTGTCAGGAATGGACTTGCCAATGGTGGTGGGACTCACCTGCCTTGTGGGCTGCAGTACCAAGGCTGGCCAGCGGGTGCTCTCAGCAGCCAGAATCTCACTCCTGAAATCAGGACATCACCTGAGGCTGATTGCAGGAGGTGTATTTAAGCAGGACCAGGCCTGTGATCAGTGCCTTGGTGTATGTTTCCCATGAGCCCCTGTACCCGGTCTGCTTCCTGCCTGATCCTGCTTTGATCCTGACTCTGAACGAACTCCGCCTGTCCTGACCTCGGCTATTCCTGACCACTCTTCCGCTCGCTCCTGGTACCGTTTGCCTGTTAGCTACCGACCCGGCCCGCCTGACTACGTTGTGCTCCATATATATATACATATATATCAGTTTAGGTTTGGGTTTGTTTCACCTTGTTGTATGTATTTGTGTTAGTTTTGGGTTTGGTTTGTTGCACTGCGTTTATGTTTGTGTTGCCCTTAATAAATTATCTTGTTTACACGCTATACCTGAAGTCTGTGTTTCCCTGTGTCGGTCCGCACACCTCTGGTCATTCCTGGAGCCCTGACATCCTTGTTGTTCCCTTAATTGGATTAAATGTGATATGCCATTCAGGTACAATGAGAGGCCGCTGAAGCACGAAATAAATCCTATAACAAAGGAAGTACTGATTGCTACACTTTCTGGCTTTCCTATCGTGTAACCGCTGTGATTGGCTGTCAGTTGCAAAGTTTTGTCATGTCTGTTCAATAAGTGCATAAAATGAGCTGCTGATCCTGCCAGAAATCCAATGAGCTGGTCGTTTCCTGTGGTCTCTTCCCTTACTGACCGTTTTCACGTATTATTATTTTTTTTTTCAGTTCTCCCTGTGCACTACAGTAAAGAAGGGAAGGTGCTCTGTAGGCCTATCACACCCGTCCTAGGGTGACAACGCTTAGTTGCCATACTGTATCTATGGTGAAGCATTCTCACTGTCAGGGTGCTAACCAGAAGAAGAATGTGGAAAGACCTGAAACACTTGCCAATGTCCAACATGGCCACGCTCATCTGTGCGCATGCCCGTAACCGAATAACTGTGGCGTGTGCGCTTGTTAGGAATGGACTCAGCACTGGTGGTGGGACTCACCTGCCGTGTGGGCTGCAGTACCAGGGCTGACCAGCGGGTGCTCTCAGCAGCCAGAAGCTCACTCCTGCAATCAGCCAACACCTGGGGCTGATTGCAGGAGGTGTATTTAAGGAATGGCCAGACCTGCAGTCAGTGCCTTGGTGTATGTTTCCCATGAGCCCCTGTACCTGGTATCCTGTGTTCCTGCCTATCTGCCTAGTTGCTGACCCTGCTTTGATCCTGACCTCTGCTGACCGTCTCCTGTTGAACCCCTGGCTTGCCTGACCATCCTTCTGCTTGATCCTCTGTACCGCGCTGCCCGTGAGTTACTGAACCCGGCTTGTGACCCTGACTATTCTGCCTGCTCCTCCGGTACCTCACTGCCCGCACGTTGCTGACCTGGCCTGCCTGACTACGCCTGACGCTACCCAGACAATCCATCCCGCACGGATCCAGTCACTACTGTCCAAACCTGCCAGCCCCTTCACATCAGGCTTCCCCCCGGTACATACCCTCGGCGGACCCCTCTACCACAGTTGGGTGCACTCAGGGGCCGCAACCTGGTCTCAGTCCTGCGCCAAGTCCATCCCCACCATCAGGGGCTCTGGTGAAAAGGCAGACTGGGGCTTAGACTCCGCGCCTTGGGGGAATCCTGTTCTGTGGGTCACTAGAGATCCCGCCGGGCGGTGCCTGACAGTACTTAACGGCCTGCCTGACCATTCCACCTCTCCAGCCCTGACTACGCCAGTGTTCCTGAAGCCTGCTACTTCCCTGTGTCAGTCCACACATTTCTGGTCACACCCGGATCCCTGACAGCGCTGATGCATGATAGTTACTGGCGCCAAGTGACCTTTAGAAGGACGGCAAATAACTGAGAAGTTGCTGGTTCATATTCAACTCCCTCCATCCTATGTTCCCGTGTAGACTGTATTCTTGGGTCTCTTGCTACCGACCCGGCTTGATTCTTGACCTATCTTCTGCTTTCCTCCCGGCTCAGACCTTGGCTTGCTGCCATGGATTCTGCTCTTCCTTGCTTCAGACTACACTTCGGCTCGCCGTCGCAGAGGTGCGACGGCGACGAGATCCCTGACACCTGCCCTAGGACATAACTGCACACAGGGGCGGACTGACCATTTGGAAACTCGGGCACTGCCCGAGGGCCCGGGTTCAGTAGGGGGCCCCATGAGATGCCTCTGGTACCTTTTTCATAGGCTTTTTTGAGTTTGGGCAAGGACACAGGGTCCCCATGATCCCCTATTGCCCGGGGGCCCCATGAGTTGTCAGTCCACCCCTGACTGCACAACACCTCCCCCTATGTTTTTGAGGAGAGAGGGGTGTGCTTTGTAGTCCTAGGGTGATCATGCTACCCCTCCATAAATACAGTACAGTGAGCGTTGTCACCCATGGACAGGAAGGGGTTTATTTACTAAAGCTGGAGAGTCCAAAATCAGACTCCCTTCTGCATAGAAACCAATCAGCTTCCAGGTTTCATTGCCAAAGCTTCATTGAACAAGCTGAAGTTAGAAGCCGATTGGTTTCTATGCAGAAGGGAGTCTGATTTTGGACTCTCCAGCTTTAGTAAATAAACCCCAAAGTGTCTTTTTGGCAGGATCGACGGGTAAAAATAAAAAATGAAAAGGAATGCAGCCAGTACATCTAAGGACTGGTAAGCCGCAATGTATTACATTTTTATATTACACATTAAGGCTTCGTGTTTCCGCTGCCGGGAGGTTTCCTCTTCCTCAAGGTTTCAAACATCTCTGAAACTCCATTGTAAAGTCACGTTTAATGATGTTCCCAAGCATACTTCGAGAAATATTTATGCAACAATGACTCTACATCCGAACTTATTTAATTTTAATAAATTAGACGCGAGACGACTTCCAATGTGACAAGCGCCTGATTTATACGTTTTCTTCCTTACAATTTATTCCGTAAACGGGAGGAGAAGAAGCGCCCGCAACAACACTTGCATCTCTCGTTGATTTCACGAAGCTGTCAGCCGAGAGATAAACTAGTTTGCCAAAGTGTGTTGATCAAATTTTTAGTGCTTTGCATATTTCTGCAAATCTGAAGATCCAAGTTTATGATTTCGTCAAGTGAGCCCCGTTCGCAGGAGGAAATATTGCAAATCCACAAGATTTAAACAAATGGCTTAATCTCATGCTTTGCTCACAGACATCTTCTGATCACCTGCGTTTCCAATCTGATGTCATTTCTCCCGATGTGTCAGCGCGGCAGACAGTTAATGAGTTACGGGGCTCGAAAAAGACAAAATGATATTGCCAGACTTGAACGAAGGGTGTTTGGGTGACAGACACCTTGTGATAACGGCATTGAAAACAAATGCAGTCGTCTGCTGGGCTTAAAGAGAATGTGTCGCGGCTTTTATGTATTTTCTTTCTTCATTTATTACGGTTCTGAACAAAAGTAAAGGGGATTTTATCCTTTTTCCCTTTCACGTGGCTGTTTCGATCAGCTTCAGAAAGACCTGATCGGAAAGGTACTTTCATCCCTATGGACAGACGGGTGTAAATGGACACATACCTACCTCCAGGTCCGATCAGGGTTACTAAAAAACAAAACAAAAAACAAATATGGAAGGGGATCCATTCTCTTTTGTTTGGGTGGAGTGGATCGCAGGGTAGTCAGGTGTAAAGAGATAGTAGGCTCCACCTCCGCAACATCGCCAAAATACGCTCCTTCCTCACCCCTGACACCACTAAACTACTAGTACATTCCCTGATTGTCTCGCGCCTTGACTACTGCAACTCCCTCCTCACCGGCCTACCCCAGCGCAGGCTCTCCCCGCTTCAGACCATCCTGAACTCAGTGGCCAGACTCATCCACCTCACCAACCGCTCCACCTCTGCCTATCCCTCCACTGGCTCCCGGTTGCCCAACGCATCAAATTCAAACTGCTAACTCTGACCTACAAAGCCATTCACAACACTGCCCCTACCTACCTCACCAACCTGATTCCCAAGTACCACCCTACCCTTCGCTCCTCACAGGACCTCCTTCTGTCTTGCTCCCTGGTCTCCTCCTCCCACGCACGACTGCAAGACTTCTCCAGGTCCTCCCCCATCCTCTGGAACTCACTACCCCAATCCATCAGATTGTCGCCTACCCTCCTCACCTTCAGGCGCTCCCTGAAAACCCACCTCTTCAGGGAAGCCTACCCCACCCTTACCTAACAGCCGTCCTCCTTCATTCCTCCTACCACTCCATCCCCCCACAGCCACTTCCTCCTGTGCCACTACCCCCTCCCTCCTAGATTGTAAGCTAGAAAGAGTAGGGCCCTCTAACCCCTCGTACACTGTCTGTTGTTGTACTGTTTCATGTATTGTCGTCCCCCCCCCCCCCCCTCTATTGTACAGCGCTGAGCAAACCCTTTGGCGCTATATAAACTCGATGTAATAATAATAATAATAGTAGAGTCTGTTTAGTCTCAGCTGCCCATAGAGCTGATCCCCTGCTGATCAGAACCAAATCCACCACATGTGAAGGGGGTCTTAGGAAGGTAAATATAAAAGACTGCACTGGAATATCAGATGTGCTTTATCCAACCAGTGGGTTGAACCAATGGCCCCTTCATTGCTTTCCATATCTGCCCCTCGTCTGAAAACAAAGACTGTTAACAGAGAACAGTAGCTCAAGGTGAAATTTATATCATCCACAAAGTAAGGTGCACACCTCTTTTTATAACCCCATACATAGAATACAGCCCTTTATGTGTACTCTGAGCTTGAGCAAGACTCAAAATGTTTTTAACTTTGCTCTGCTATTTTGCATATTTAAAAAAAAAAAGCTATTTTGATACTTGAAAACCTCAGTGCAGATTACTTGTTTTTCCTTTAGAAAGAATTCCAGGTATGGCAATTATCATACCCGTGGAATCCTTCTAGAAGCTGGAAATCACTGTAGCAGACAACGCTACTACAGTGATCTCCACTAGTGACTGCCCTGCTGCATTCCCTCAGTTAATGCAAACCATTCTCTGAATGGACAAGATGGGAAGCATGACATCCCTGCAGGGTCCGGGGTTTAGTAACACTTTAATGCTATAGCTACATGAGAGAGAGGGGGGGGGAGATAGAGAGGGGGGAGAGATAGAGAGGGGGAGAGAGAGAGGGGGGAGGGGGAGAGAAGGAGAGGGAGAGAGGGGGGGAGAGAGAGAGGGGGGGGAGAGAGAGGGGGGGGGAGGAGGAGAGAGGGGGAGAGGAGGGAGAGAGAGGGGGGGCAGAGAAGGAGAGAGAGAGGAGGAGAGAGAGAGGGGGAGAGAGAGGGAGGGAGGGAGATTGGGGAGAGAGGGGGAAAGAGAAAGGGGGGAGAGAGGGGGGAGGAGAGAGAGGGGGAGGGTGGAGAAATAGGAGAGAAGAGAGAGAGGGAGGTGAAAGAGAGGGGAAAGAGAGAAGAGAGAAAAGAGAGGGGGAGAGAGACAAAGAGAGGAGAGAGGGGAGGAAGAGAGAGGGGGGGGGGGAGATGGAGAGGGGGAGAGAGGGGAAAGAGAAGGGGGGGGGAGAGAGTGGAGAAATAGGAGAGAAGAGAGGGAGGTGAAAGAGAGGGGGAAAGAGAGAGAGAGAAAGAGAGAGAGAGAGAGAGAGAGGAGAGAGAAAGAGAGGGGAAAGAGAGAGGAGATAAAGAGAGGGGAAAGAGAGAGAGAGGGGAGAAAGAGAGGGGAAAGAGGAGAGAGGGGGGGAGAGAGAGAGAGAAGAGAGGGGGAAGAGAGACAGAGAGAGGAGAGAGGGGAGGAAAATAGAGAGAGAGAAGAGAAAGAGAGGGGGGAGGGAGAGAGAGAGGGGGGAGAGAGAGGAAGAGAGGGGGAGAGAGAGAGGAGAGAGGAAAGGAAGAGAGAGAGAGAGAGAGGAAAGGCACAAAAAGAAAGAGAGAAAGGAGGAATGAAGAGCAGCCATTTCTGGAGGTAGAGAAATAGCAGGATGTAAATGTAGAACACTTTTATAATCATAACGCGCCAGGGAAAAAAAAAAAAAAAAAAAAAATCTTTGCGGATGTTACATATGTCAGCGGTAATGCCATTCCTCATCCCTTTCATTTACATAATGGAACATTCTTTAGATTATCCGCCGCGTTCATGTGAATTCAGCACGCTGATCTGTCTCCCTACAAAAGTTAAACATTTAGATTCTATTAAAACATCTAATCAGAAGATTAAAAAGCTCCTAATTCACATTCAGGACAAAAGAATGGGAAAAAAAAATCAGCTTTGTCGGA